ACAACTATGCCAGGTCCTTCGATCCCGGGATACATATCTACGGCTTGTCGACCACTTTGTCAGTGCTGCTCCAGTGGTCATTTACGTTCTTGCGGATACACTTACTAATACACGACAGGGAGCAGGGTTAGCAGCTTGCCTTGCCCTTCGGATTTTGTTTCTTGCATGGTCACAGTGGTATCCTGCACGTCCCTTATCTGACGAAGAGTCTGATCTCAGGTCACGAAAAGACACGCCATCCTTCGTTCCACCGTTGTCTCTAATTACGAATGAAAAGAAATAGTTATTATCAAAAAAAAGCGAAAAATTAATAAAATAGAGAAGTTCCCGAAATAAAAATCATGAAATTGCAAATTTATGCAATGTTTTTATTTGTAAATTCGTAGGGTTTGTGGGTTTTCAGAAGTTGGTAATTTGTTTCAGCTTTGTTATGGTATTTTGTACGGAATGGGTGCAGCTTCGCTGGCAAAGCAGTTATCCATGGAAAAGCATGAGGCGCAGCAACTGATTTCGTCATTTTTTCAACAATTCCCAAGTAAGTTATTAATTTGAATGTATAATTTGGCTTATTCTCATTTGTGGTAAACTTTGAGAAGTGAAGAGTGTAAAAGTTGGAGGGTATTTTAGTCTGAAACTCAATAATACCTTCTTAAAAGTGGGGCCGTGATTGAACTCACAAATCTCTCAAAAGTGAGGTTGTATGTATTTGAATATTGTGGACTTCCCTTTAGCTTTCTTGGTAAAGGTAACCATCAGAAATCTTCTTCGCAGATCGATGCTACTAATAAAATAGATATCATTGCTTAGTTTCCACTAAAAATCCTTGAAAAATCAAAAGGCCACAGTGGAAGAGGGCGAACGAGAAGAGATGGTAACGGGCGGGAGGGAGACGGAAAGAAGTGATTTTAATTCGTGAGCTTCATAACGTAAGTTTTGCAGAAGTACGAGCATGGATTGACAAAACGCTGAAAGCATGTCGTCAGGATGGGTTTGTATGCACTTTACTAGGTCGAAGACGATATTTGGCATGTATTACCAGTGAATTACAAACGGAGCGTGCTCAAGCTGAAAGACAAGCAGTTAATTTTTGCATACAGGTAGATTTACACTCGGGTGTTTTGTGTCTCATTACAGAATTAAGATAATCGAAGTACAGAATTTTAATTAAAAAGCAGAACTAATTAAGATTCAAAATGCTGTATTTAAAAAATTGACTTTACGGGGGGAAAAAAGTGAATTGAAGTAAAAGTTTAAATTTGAAATCGGAAATTTTTTCTTGCAATTGACCATCTTTAACAGTGTTTTTGA